TCAAAAAATGAAAAAAGGAGGGCAAGGACCCTGCCTCTTCCCCCGACCCACCTCGCTTTGCCTTAAACGGGTAGCGAGGTGAGTATAGGGGTAAAAATTGCCTGGCGGGACAGCTCCCAACCTAACCAAAACTCACCTTGTTTCCTTCCCTATTAAAGTCTAATGTATAAATTGTGCCAATGTTTATCATTGATATTTCAAATTTTCGAGTGTGAACAATAATCTAAGATTATTCGTATCGTATAGGAGCGAGTTGAGCACAATTGATCCGCATGTTCGAACCATGTTCCAACACCAAGCATGTAAAGTTGGATGGTGCTTAACGCTTGGAGTTGTAATTTATACATTATAATATTGATATTTGTTGTTTATGGTAAATTATCATTTTCGTGTTATAACAGTTGCAACTTTTATTTGGGTGCAAAAAACATTATACTTTTTACAAAACATAAGATTTCATTAAGGAAAATGATAGTCTGACAGGGTCAATTGCACAGACCCTGCCCAAACTATGAGAGGGTGGGCTTTTTTTTTTGTCCTAAAAAAATGGGCGTGGGCTCTCTTTTTTGAGAGATAGTCTGGCCAGGGTCTGGCAAATGACCTTGACAGATTAGCATAGTCCTTTCATTAATTGCGAATTTTCAAGTAGTAAACTAAATAAAATATTTGTGCATAATGATTGATCGGACACGCAATATTACGGTTATACATTAACAGGTAATCTTCGATAAAAGTAGAAAATTTAAATATAGCCGATTACATGAAACATTGTTCGCCTACGTCACCGTCGTCAACATTTGAACTTTTGCTCCCACTAACTTCCTCCTTATAGTTAGAACTTATGACAATGACCTCGAGATCAACTCATCATCACCGGAGTCATCTTCGTAAAGGACCATGTATTCAAAAATATCATCAATTTCAAGGTCTAATGATCGAGATGATTGGTAAGAAACGTCATCCAAGTTAGGAAACAAGGGCTTTAGTAGTATTGTTGATCATCTAAAGTATTTACAAAAAATTCCTTACAAATGATATTTAGATAATTCAACCTGCTACATAATAAAAATATCTTTCACACATGAACATGAACTAAATAAACATAAAAATAAGTTGTTTGACGTATATGTCACGATATAACTTCAAAATAATACGAAAAATTATAAGTCCAAAAGCAACACATAATTATCTGAGTCAATGAAGTCCAAATGTGTACTATTCTTCCATCTCTTCCGACCACTCTTAATGTAGGGAGTTCAAAATCCATCTGCAACTCCATTAACATGAACAAATTCCAATGTCAGCGGATGATTTAACATTTAATGAATTCGTATGACATAGTGAAGCACTCAAACACATTTTCATTTTATTATAATTGTTGAAAAATCCAGTACCTATCTATTAAGAATGACTGATTTTCACAACAGATATTCCGTCTGTACTTTAAAGAAACACCCCAAGTACAAACATGAATAAGATTTTCTAATCTACATTAACCATAGAATGAACCACATTGTAGCAAATTGAATCAACCATACAATAAAACATAGATTAAACCACATAATGACCATAGAATGAATCACATTACCTAAGCTATGAATCAACAAATTGAACACGCTGTAGTAAATTGAACATATCAATCCACAAATTCAACCTACCTTGCTAATCCTACAATGAATATGTACATTCTAATAAATCACAACGGAAATGTGTATTCTAATAAACCAAAAATTCAACCTACATTCAAGCACACCCTAAATCTCTTACAATATCTTAATTCATGAGAGAATAAATCACAATGGACATGTATATTCCAATTTGGAGGCAAACCTGCCACCTATTAGAGACATATTTAACTTGCTGAAAAATTATACATTTTTGGCCAAAAATTCAACATTTTTGAATAATATTAAAAAATTTAAAAATCGTAAACATTAGTTAATGGAACAATGGGAGATGAACATATCTTGCATTAGAAATGAGAAAAAAAATCCAACTAATTTCTTGCCGAAGTTGCTTTTGAGGATACAAACCTTTTGCCCTCTAATAATTTCAATGTGTATTATGGAAGGAAAAATCAACCACTTCAGAAAGAAGTATAAATGAGGAATCGATTACTGTGTAGTGGGGTGTTTTATCGACTATGGGAGTTGAGTGGTTTGGTGTTAGTGCGAAACTTGCATGCGTATGGAATCATTGACAAGTAATAGAATTGACTCCCATAGAGAATAAATTTCAATTCAAATTTACTAATTATATATGGAATTCCAAATACGTAACACAAGAAATAGTTTTTGATTTGATTTTATACTAAATTATATGAGAAAGCGGTAAAAAGTATTTTTATATCAAATTATGGCTTATATGTGATTTGGAATCCACAAATTGTTATCAATTTCAATTCTTTATTTGTAATTTAGTTCCGTTCACGCGTTCTTGTCAATCGATAAAGTTAATGAGTTTAACTTTCTTTTTCAAGACAAACTAATTCTATCATAACCATGATCCGAATATATTCTTAACTTGAATTCAAATGGTTAGAATGCATTAGATTTTGGATTACCTATATGATTGCACAAGTGATAAATGTTATTCATAACATTAATGCAAATATGTTGATTTTGCCGCGTTCTAAAGTTATTGTGAGTTTTCCAACATTACAACAATCAATTAATTATTTAATATATAGCCAATCAATTAAATAATATAATGAACATGCAAAATTAATCAAGAAATGTAAGAATTAAACTAAATTACTAGTATTGAATTTAAAACAAATAAACAATAGGATTCATCTTATATAATACAAAAAAGGGATCCAGCCTAACATGATTTTAAATAAATTACAAGAAGAATAACAGAAAAATATCACTTGGAACATGAAAAGAAAATAAAAAGATGTTGATTAAGTTCAAAGTAAATTCTTCAATTTTTTTGATGTAATTAGCCTTCAATTCTTGTTAGGGCTTGATTTTTTCTCCCAAAAGTAATGAATTGACATCTTATTCTTGATAAATTTGATAATAATAGTGTATGAAGAGGAAAAAGAGAGTTCTCCAATATGTAGCCCTTGTTTTGTATTTATAAAAGCCAGAAAATAGATTAAAAACACGTTCAATTTAGAATCAAAAAGAGTTTGAATCGCAAAAGGAAACTCCTAATTCATTTGCGACAATAGCCCTCGCGCGCGCTGACATAAGTACCTCGCACAAGCCGTTGATCCAAATGGATCTCGGGTCATGAAAATAGTGTACTGTGCTCGCATGCAAAAATATCCCCAACATTTTCGTCGGTTTACCTCTAGTCGTCCCTGAATAGTTTTCGGTATATTGGTCATAACTTTTTCTTCCGATATTCGATTGAAATGATTCAAAGTACGTTAGAAAAATAATCAAAGAAATACAATTCTTTTATAAATAAAATTTCTCCAATTCAAACATTTGGTATCCGAAAAATGAGTCTCAGGTTGAGGCTAAAAATTCGAAGTATAACTTTTCAACTGAAATTTGATTTGTGAGAATATTTTGGCTCTATTTTACTTCTTTTAACTCCCATTGCATCCAATTGATCATACGTGATTTTTAATCATCATTTTATGGTTCGAGTCAACTAATAGATATTTACACTTTGGTTCCCAAACTTTGGACTTCTTTAATTTCTGCCCCTTTTTGTTCTTTCTTCCAATGGTACTGATTTGCCTTGAGTTTTATCTGTTATTAACATTTAATTAAGTCATAAATCATCAAAATTAATTACAATTAATCTCATTTAACAACCCAGACAAGTGTATAAACAATGGAGGAGGACTAGAGGAAGTAGAAAAAGAGGAAATTCCAGCAATGGGAGTGGGTTGTGGGTTTAGTACATGGGTGTGAGGTGGGGGTTTAGTGGGATGTTTTCAATTTCTTGATACGAATTTTTCAACTAGTTAAATCAAAATTAATGAAGGATGTGCAAGGTTTTAAAATTTGTAGAAGGGCAAAAAAGTTCAGAGTGATATTTTTGTCCAAAATTATTAAAATGAGATATTTTTGTAAATGCTAATCCAAAAATGACACGTGGTGCAATTTCCTCAAAAAGAAGCGAGAATGGTGGAAAAATGCCTGTCCTCGTTCTTCGGGGGGGAAAAACGTCTTCTTACGAAAGACTGTCCACGTACGTTTTAAGGAAAGAAGAAAGAATTTTCTCGTGAATAAACAGTAACTTTTGGACGACACCTTGGTGTTTGAACCGTTGTGTACGTGAGCTGTCTTAAGTTGAGAGATAGAGAGCATGTTTGGGAGTGATTTTAAGAATTGATTTTTTGATCGTTAAGAGAAAAGTGGGATCCACCTGTGAGAGAAGAAATCAAATATGACGGTTGGAATAATGAAATAACGGTCAAAAAATCAATTTTTTGGATGAAAAAATTGGGCCCAAACAGGCCCAGAGTCTGATTGAAAGTGATTTTGAGAATTGATTTTTTAATCGTTAGAAAAAAATGAGGTTCACATGTGAGAGAAGAAGTCAAATATGATGACTGAAATAATGAAATAACTGTCAAAAAATTAATTTTTTGGGTGAAAAAATCGAGCCCAAATAGACCCATAATTTAGAGCTTGTTGGGAGAGGTTTTTTAAGAGAGATAATTCTTAATCTCTTCCAAATAAGCACTTGATAAGTAAGGAAACTTTATGAAAACTTTGAAGAAACATTTGATCACAATTCATTGAAAATACGAAGAAAAATATAGTCGTTATGGACTTTACACAAGAGATAGAATTCAAATTTGATAATTTGATGTGATGAATAACGTTCATATTTTTCATTTTAATGGAGAAAAAAATGAGAAACAAACATGGTATGTTTCACTCCAAAATATTAATAAGAAATTAGATTTGAGTTATTAGAAAATTATTTTAAAATTAAATATTTAATTTCTAAAAATATATAATATTTTTTATACAACGATTTAACGACTTGCTTCTTTCAGAATTTGCGTTTCTACTTATCATATATCATTTTCTTATGATTTTAATTAAAATCACCATAAATATCATAAAATGCTGAATAGCATAATTATTCATACAGGAAAATAATACGACTCTTAATTTAACATTCACAGAGAAAATTTAAATATTCAGTGCTTGTGCATAAATTCTTTGATCCCTGCAAAAAGTTTTTCTGTTTCTTTTGCTGTATTTGGATCCATGTCAACAGCAATCTTGTTCAAATAAAAGCTGTGCCCTACTCCATGATTGATCAGCAGTTCCACTTCTTTGTTAGCCCTTTTCATGGCCTCATAGAATTCCATTTCAGTGTCCTGGATCAAATCCTGATCCGCCACGCAGTACAGATATGGCGGCAGATTCAGGTTCTGTAGCGGCGGCGCCGCCTCCCCCATTGGACAAGTTATGGGGTGGTCCTTGTTGCTTCCAATAGGCAAAGCCATGTTTAAAAACTTGTCCACCATGTTGCGAGTTAGAAAGGGCGATTCCGGTTGTTCCATCTCCGATTTGCTCCGCCTTGAACGGACGAAACCGGGGTGGATTGGAATCGCGCCAACTAGTTTAAGCGGAGTCAAGTTTTCATTTCCAGCACGCGCCGCCACCTGGTGTACTATGTTGCCACCGGAGCTGTCTCCTACTAAGAAAACGCGTCCAAAATCTACATGGTCATTGAACCAGGGCTCGTAGGCCTTGCCCTGTGCTAAAGAGCGAAGCCAGAGGAGTGCATCGAACCCGTCGTCACAGGCGGCAGGGAGGCGGTGCTCTGGAGCACGACGGAGGTATACAGAAACAACTATGGCTCGAGTTATACGAGCCAGGCGGGTGTAAACAGCATAGTACATGTACCAGTCAGCCTGGCTAATGCAAAATCCACCACCGTGGAAGTGAAGTAATATAGGAAGTTTGTCCATGTCTTCTACGTTCTTTTCGGGTAAATAAATTCGTACCTTTTGGCCCGAATCTGCATCGATAATGATGTCTTTCATAGCAATTCCATCTACAAAGTCATTGTGTGGCAATACAGGATCTGCCATGAACTGGACCTCAGGTGGTCCAGTCCACGTCCTATCGACTGAGCCATCGTCGAAAACTGTTAGCCATCCCGATACTTCATCAACTATCTTTTTTTCTTGAACCATGGTCTTAACCGGACTAGCTGAGGAATAGGAGGGATCGAGGGATTCTAGACAATTCTACAAATAATTAAGGCTGGGTTGAGTTGGGTAGAGGAGAAATAGGGTGCCATTTTATAGACGTGGGAGGGAAAATGTTAGCGAGATTACGTCAATATTATAATTGACAAGATGGGTAAGCTACAGGAAAATGTTTAGCAATGACAAGGGTAGTTCCATGCTTTTATTCTTTGGAACTTACTTTATAGGAGAAAATTTCAATTTCTTTTGAATTGCTTTTTCTTTGAGTTCACACTAATGGGTATGATTGTTGGTGGCAGTTTCTATTAATGTAAAGAAAAGGGATTTAGTTAAAGTGAATTTTGTTAGTTGAGTTTGTTAGAATTATTGTGAATTTGATTATCATTTTGTTCGACAAATAATGTTATGAATCGAGTTTTTTTTAGCGATGTAGTTCAATATATTTGATTAATTTGTATCACAGACTTTAAAGATATCGGATCATGTATGAGTTGCCGAAATTATCGTGTGAAAATAAATTATTCATTTGATTGAGAACACGGGTTCGTCTTGTTATAGAATTGAAAGTGGTATGAAGGGTAGGGTTGAAGAAATATTTTTTTGAAAATTGGTATAACGTAGAAGGTTCAAAACTTAAAATTAATAATTTTGTTTTATAATAAAATAACATTATGAGGAAGATTAATATTAATATAAATTTATTGTTCAATGATAATGTTATCATTAAGTAAATTAGTTTTGATTTAGTGGCTTCTAATCACTTAACATACACGTTAATAAAAATCATTGTCATTAGATCATTGATTGCAACAAAAAGTTTTAAAAATATTGTCAATAATATAACATGTAATCTTGTCCAAATTTACTGATAATTTCTAGTAAGATACACGATGAGACTGAATCTCATAAAGCTGATAACTTGTTCGTAATTTGACCAGATGTTTAGAATCAAACAATTATCAACATAAAAGAAGAGAAAAATGAGATTTAGAGGTTTTTATTTATCATTTACCAATCTTGTAACATATGTCAAAGTGCGAGTTGCCTGTGCCTGTGAACTTTAATATGTCAAATGACCCTCATTTAATTAACATGTATAAGCAAGGCGTGACACGAATATCATCTATAAGGAATCATGTTACAAGTACAGAATTTTTTGACAGAAATTCGTTACAGATAACACATGGCATTGTATCATTGAAAGACGGAAAAAAAAGGTCCAATCGCACATTGTCACGTCAGTTTCGATACAAATTATGTAATGTTTTTTCTTTACTCACGACTTTATAGATAGGGAATATACGGAAATAGTACACAATGAGTTGTTTTGGCATTTTATAATTTAATTGAGACAGTCTGGCTTGCTTTTTTTAAATAAGGATTTATTTAATATAAATTAAATACGTAATCTCTATCTTATCTGAATTATAATAACATAAAATTAACAGCACTTGTCCATCTTCTATTGTTACCCCATAAAAAAGTCCGCCAGTTCAAATTGGGGGACCTCGCAAACATGTAGAAATGGAGCATTATAGCTACTTCGTTAACTTTCTAGCTTAACTATACCACGAAATGCCCAGTTCCTTACCTACAAGAAGAGAGCTACGAGCGAATGACTAATCGATTATAGGTACGAGGCTAGAACTCAAGTTCGATACTAGATCGAGATGGGCTCAAAAAACCCCACACCACGAATGGAAACGGAAGCTTTTCAATTTACTTCCTTACTTCGGACAAATCTTCATTTGAAATGAATTCTTTCATAGCTGCTCATTTGTGAACAAGTATTAGTTTTCAATACGAGACTATGTCTTTAATGGGGACAATCGATCAAGAAGCACATCGAAGATTGCAATCTAATTGAAAATATAAATATTATTCATGTAGTAGATGTGTAATAACAAAAAGTACATGTATCTTGACAACGAGTTATGTTACTTGTACGTAAAAATTGTACATAATGGATTACGTAAAATGATGTAGAAGGAAAAGATTGGATTAAAAATTTGACTATATTTTAAATTGACAAATGATATCGTGACATTTAACATTATGTAACCCATTAAATAAAGTTTGATATACATGTAACAATGTCCTTTTAACAGCAATCTCATAAATTATAAAAATATAATTTAATACGTTTATACGAGAGGTCAACATTAGCACATATAAAATATTGAGTAGATCGTGATTTAATTAATTCATTAATCATTTCCTACCTTCTGCTTCTACTTTCGCTTAAATAAATGCAGCGAATTATTTATTTGTTTTTTTTATTGGCATTGATAAGTAGTTTTTTTTTTTTTGATATCCAGCTATCCACCTTACAGTGACTAAATCCTGGAGTCTACACCTTGGCCTCTCAAACTGCAGACAGGTTAAACTGCAAGTTGTGCCCCAAACTGACCAGTGCTCAAGAACCCCCCAACTGATCTGTCAAAGTGTCAAGCAAGTCGTTTCCCATCTTTGCACCTTACCTTTCAGTAGAGCTCCTACCTTTCAGGATAAATCCTGCCTTCCAAAAATCGAATTCACGACCTCTGATCTATCAACCTTAAAGCACCCTCATCTTTGTCAGTTGGGATGTGCCCTGGGAGGCAAGATTGATAAGTAGTTATTATAAGTATAGCAACTGGATGAAGACAACATAAAGTGTCATTTCTAAGAAAATTCTGTTTAATTTGCTGGAAGAGACAGTAACTTGCCAAAAAGAAAAAATATATAAAAACGAAAACTCTACCTGCAATTATATATATATATATATATATATATATATATATATATATATTCCCTTTTTATATAACAGAAAAAGTAATTATTTAATCTTCATGAAATATAAAAAGTTTAATTAGAAAGTAAACATGCTGCAGGATAAGAGGAAACTTCAATCCCTTTTTTCTTTCTTTTTTTTTTTTTATTTTTAAATATACATCTAATTATTGTCATTTACCCGGATTTATGGGCATATTGACTTGTGCCCCAGAGAGACGGTTGAAATATGCTCGCTTAGCGTTTATTTTCATGAAAAGAAATTATGTCTGAACTTATCATTTCACCATTTTTTGACATTTGAGATGAAATAAACGAAAAAGATTGGTCTATTCGACGTCTTTTGCATCTACTCTCACAAAATTAACTTATCGAAATCGATCCACATATTTAAATTTCACTTTTTTTTTTTTTCATATTCTTCATAGTCCAATATTTGTTCTCGAAGATCTTTGTTTCCACATACCCGATCTCGACTTTTTGTTCGAATTGAAGAGAAGCGATGCAATTTATGGCCTTAAAAGTCAAAATGAAAGAAATTTCTAGTTGGAATTGCCATCAATAGGACAAAGTATTATTTTGTTCTTGTGAATTCATTGAGGAACTTATTTATTTTATTTGTGAGTAGACTATAATATTATTTTAAGACAAAAACATTCACGTATAAAAACTTACGTGTTGGAAAAATAATGTTGTAAGTAGGTAAGTAGTCAATTTTAAATGGCGAAGTTGGAATGTTATTTCCTCCCTTTGCAGATTTTCTTGGTAATTTACTTGTTCAAAACTATTTTTAGACATGAATGAGCAAAATTAAGTCAAAAGTAACCTAATTTGTGATGAGAAGTTGAAAGAGAAAAATAAGAAGATTAGCTTTACATCCGAATATCAAAAAAATTCCAATGCTTTAAAAGTCATTCGTTAGTTATTTGGATTTGAGTCTCGAGCGAAAAATCATACGTATAGAGTTTGTTCTAACAAACTTGAAGTTCGAGATGTCTTTGAAATATTGCAAAAACTTTAAAGATCAAAACGAATTTCAATGTATGTTACTATGTCATTTTTTTTTCTTTTTTTTTACCCCTACATCGATATTTATTCAAAAGCAAATATGCCTCCGGGATGTAATAGAATGAGATAATGTCTGTGTTTTGCACAAACGAAGATATTTCGAAACCAAAAAAAATGAAAAAGAAAAAAAAAAGTGAGAGAGAGAGAGAGAGAGAGAGGAAGAAACTAAATACTAGAGAAGACTTGTATTGAGTCTATGTAAGATGATAAAATAAAAGCTAGCTTTGAAATAATTTAAAAAGGCATAGAAAAAGTAGCGAAATATCAAAAAAGGTTAAACCCTAATCTTAAGGGTCCCCCATCACTCTTGTCCTGGAGCATCGTGAGGGAGGTAAATCGCAGGTTATGCCTTCAAGAGTATAGGGTGGAAGGCTGCTTGTACACTTGTACTTACCCAAGAGCCAAATCCATATTTCAGGATTCGAACCCTTGACGCAGTAAGTATTGTCTTGTCATCTCTTTAAGATTTTGAGAATTGATTTTTTGACCGTTAGGAGAAAAGTGGAGTCCACCTATAAGAGAAAAAGTCAAAGCTGGAATAGTGAAATAACGGTCAAAAAATCAATTTTTCGGGTGAAAAAATCGCTCTCAAACAGGCCCTGAATCTTTAAATATATATATTTTTTCTTTTATATAAGTATTTTCTTGTCATCTTCAAAGAGAAGAACGAATCTTTGAATAGATTTTTTTTTTTTATAACCTTCCCAATAGTTCAACGTTTGAAGAATTGACTCTTCCTTTCGAATTTGGAAACTGAAATTACAAGAAACATCCATAAATTTCAAATTTGTAAAGAAGAAACCGTGAATCACGTAATAAAATATCCCCTCGAGTGAACAAGGAAGCAGGCAAAATGCATGTTCTCTACTTCTCTATCCACCCAAGCGATGCGTTTTCCTCAAACAAGAAAACTGATCGTTCAAATTACTTATACAAACAACTTGTCTATTTATTTATTTCAGCCTTGTTTTTGTGGAGATTTGAAGTCAGGTCGCATGCCTGATAAGATTTCATTCTTACCACTTGAGTTAAGCCTTGATCTCTGAATAATTGAACATGTACAAAATGTAAGTCCATCAAAATGTATGTTAATTACAAGATAATTACAACTGTGATCCCACACATTTCAACTTCTTGTAGCTCTTACCCTAACTTTTTTAATTATTGCACCTTATTCTTTAGAGAAATGCTATTTGGCCAGGGTCATTTGCAGAGACCCTGGCCAGATTATCTCTTATGGTGGGGGGGGGTGATATTTTTCATTAAAAAATGGGTTGGGTCCCATGTAAGACAGAAT